TATACCTAACCTCCACAGTTTTGTTAAGAGCGCTGCGTGCCACACGCGGTCATATGCTTTCTGATAGGCCACATATATAGCTAAGGTTGGTATGTTGGCAGCCATAATATTCTTAATCTCCTGGAAAATTGACAACACTCTTGTGGGCAGTAAGCATCTTGGGCGAAAACCCGATTGTTCTACTGGAACAATATGATTTGTCTCTGCCCAATATCTTACTCTATTTAACATTAGTTTTTCAAAAAGTTTTGAGTGAGTTGCAAGTAAAGAAATCGGACGAGTTTGATCGCATTTAGGAACACCGGCTTTTAGTTTATTTAAGGTTATTATCTTCGCTAGTTTCCATTCCTCTGGATATCTACATTCACTCAACCATTGATTAAAACAAACAACAAGACATTCGATATAACTCATCGGAAGTTTTTTAATTATGAAGTTGGATATTTGATCAAAACCTGCTGATTTTTTTGGTTTGAGGGATCGGATCACTCTTCTGACCTCGACGATATTAGTTCTCTCCATTTGTGCTTTAGAATTAGATAAAATTTTCAGTATTTCATTACATTTATCAACAACTTCTACTTCATGTGAATCAGACAGATCTATCACTGGCTTTTTGAACTGTTCACTATAATAGTTATGTAGTTCCCTTGCAATGTCGTTTTGTTCTGAGAGTACTTTATTACCACTTAATAGTTTATAAAATGGTAATGTACGTGTTTTATAAATACGTGATAGATATGACCAAAACATTTTGTCTTTGCTATCATGTGTCTGTTGGATTGTAGACAAAAAATTTTGCCATTGAGACGCTTTATATTTTCCTATCTCATTTTTTATTTCTCTTGTCATGACTCGAAGAAGTACTCTTATTTCTTCTCTTACTATTCCTCTTTGACGTAGATGATAGTATTTATTTCTTATTTTCCTTACTTCTTTTAATTTCTCGATTATATAATAAGGTAATGATGGTTTATATTTCTCTTTCTCTTTCCATTTTGTTAATCTATTCTTCGTTGCTGCGAGGAATCGCACGTACTGACAATACCATTCATTTGTGTTTATTCTTTTCTGTTCTTCTACCCAGAATGTTTGAAGAAGTATTAAAATAGCTTCGAACGCCTTCCAATTGGTATGTGAGAAGGAACCGTTCAATTTGAAAAATATATTTTCACATGTTAAAGCAAGAGGCCAATGATCGCTACTGCCGAAGTTCATTGTATCACATGAAATAGCAGGGATATTTGAAAAAGATAAATCTATATTGCGCGACGAGCGCTTCGACGAGTGTGATGTCGATGGAATGTAGCTAAGATTATTCTCATCCATCCATTCTTTCACATATACTCTTCTCTTATCCGTCGGCGGACTATTCCATTCTTTCACTGTTGTATTAAAATCACCAGAGAGAATGGTTCCTTCTATCAGAAAGGGAAGAATGTCATCAAGATTGCGTTTTTGGCTGTTTGGCCAATAAATACCTATGACACGCACTGGTTCTGATAATCCTATAATATCTATAACTAATGTATTTGGTATGTCTGTTTCAATACGTGATGCCTTCAAATGCTTCCCTACTGCTATGCATACGCCTCCACTATGATTAGTGCCTTTCTGATAAAATATGTTAAAATGTGGAAGTTTATTTGTGTTCCAAAGCTCGCCCACTTCAGTAAAAATACAGATGGAGGCCTCTATTTTGTACACTAATTCTATCACTTCAAGTGCTCGTGTGCCCCATCCTTGAACATTATAGCACAGTATTTTTAAAGGTGTATTAACACTATTAGAAATTATTGCATTATTTTTTTCCCACTGACTTAATACTGAATTTAAAGATCTATTAGAGTACCATTCATTCAAGAGATTTAACAGTAGTTTTTGATCACCTGTTGAAAAATTCCATTGTCTTAGCTGATGCATCGCTTGTTCTATTGGATCTATGAAAACATCGTTTTTTGAAGAGAAGAAAGGAAGCGCAAGCGGATTAAGCGAAGAATTAAAACTACTTATGATTATTTCATAGTTAATGAATCGTCACGAATCGTGTTTTCAGATGTTGCAATCTGTTTATCTGGAGTTGGTGGTTGAAGTGATGATGTTGGACGTTTACGTCTTATTTCATAATCATTTTTTAAATCCGTTTTTAGATCACGCAGATTATCGTAGATTGATTGTAAACCAATCTTGGACTTCAATAATTCAGGCTTTACTTGATGCATTACTGGACCAAGTACATTTTGAATGAGTGATTGAACATTTTCAATCAATTTATTCATTGTGCTTTGGTGTAATTCTGCATCTAATGCTGTTTGATTCACTTGTGTATTGATTTTTTCAAGTTTCTTTTCTACTCTTCTATTACTTTCACGCATTTCAACCAGATTTTCATTTATAAGCAGAAGTGCTTTTGTTGAATCAGGTGTTATACCGTGACCAGTTTCTGTTTGTACACCATTCCACACTGACTGTTGTGGTTTCTTAGATTTGCCTATAGATGGAAAATCTTCGTTCTTCATATTGAAATCTGATCGTGGATTAGTATAATCATTTCGATGTAGTTTTCCAGATTCCAAGGCCTTAGTAACTTCTTCTTTTAGATCAGCGCGATATTGTTGAATAACGTGACATTGGACATTCCGTGAATGATGTTCACCATCACATTGAGCACATTTTGGAACATGGTTGCATACATGTTCTTCCTTCTGTTTTATTTCTTGTAGACATACTCGACAACGCTGTACATTATTTTTACATTGTTCACGCAGGTGACCAATTTTCCAACATCGGGTACAATATGTCATACGATTCCCAGAAAAAGAGGTGTGATGGATAGCCAGTGATTGCCAATCGAAATACAACCAAGTTCACGCCCTGTATTATATTCTGTTAAATCCGTTACTGTAAAACGAAAATCATTAGACTTCCGTTCGTACGTGTAATAGATTTGTTTTATATTATCGGCTGATGCAATAGTACGTTTAATTTCTTCTTTAACGAATCGAGATCTAATTCACGTGGAACATACCGAGCAACTAAAGCAAAGCAATCCGGAATAAATTTTGGTTTCAGAATTTTAATAGGAACACCTTTGATTGCTGTAGGCCAATTTTCTGTTGTTACTAACGTCATGTAATCTCCCTTGTTATTCACTCCTAATTTAAGACGTTTATTTGCCCATCCAACTAATGAAAAATGTTGAATACGTATATTATGTTCTTTAAAATGCTTTTCAATCAAACTTCTAGCTTCGAAGGCTAAAGGAAGTCGATGTATAGTTGTAGATTGATCGAATTCGATGAAAAAGCACGGCAAATTGGAAGAAACAGCACGTTTTAGTTGATCAAAGGGAAGTGATTTCCGTTGTTGCTCGTTAGTTGTTAGTGCTTGTTTCCTTTGTATGTATGCATTTATGCTTGGTTTGTGTTGCTTCTATGCTGAACTGATTGATCCATCGCTCTCGTTGAGCGGTCGATTACGCTTTGGAGTTGATGATTTATGTTGAGGGCTTGTTGTAATATTTAAAATTGACGGAATTTGTTGTTGCTCTTGGTTTATTTGATCGTTGTAAGTATGCTGAAACGACTGTTGTGCACTACGAGCTCGAGTAAATTCAAGATACTGATAAAAATCATTCAACATGTTGGGGTTTTGTGCTAGTGAACGATGAAGACCTTCTCGCTGTTCTATAGTGTTGCTATCATAGTAAATTGGTGGTTGAAAACATTGTTGCTGCTGTGATTCACCAATTTCAGATTCACCAGTAATGAGATGAGTGGATCGAGCGAGATTGTTTACTTCGGCTGATTGAACTTGAATAGAGGACATTTAGTGCTTCTCTGCTACTGCAGGGAAACTTACAAGATAGATGAGTATGTAAGAGAACCGTAAGGAACGCGACTGTTCTCGACGAAGGCAGATAAAGAAGTAAGAAACAAAAGAAATATAACAATAGAAATATTGTTATATACGAAATTAGAGTGATCACAACATAAAGGAAAAGAACACACACATATATATGTATAGGATTATACTTATATCTAAATCATGACTCATCAGTAGACAAACACCAGCATATAAGAAATGAAATAAATGTAACAACAATAACAAATATTGTCAATACACTACAAAGCCATTTATGGCACGGCGATATACGACTGTAAGACGGTGCATACCAAAAAGTCAATTTACGGCACGTTTACGGCCATATTTTAACCGTTTACTTCCGTTTACGACATCGTAAACGTTCATGTACGATCGTTTTTGGTTGCCATAATACTCGACCTGGGGATGAGATAGCCATTAAATTCATTTCTTCCTGCTGTGAGCGTTTACAGTAATCAGTTGAATGGACATTAATGAACTACCTCACTACTATATAATGAATAAAAATGTATGTGAACTTTCTGACTGCACATCGCACATCCGATGGTGTTAGCTTATGTGGTCGAATCTCAATGCTCTACAGATTGTCTGATTTATGATGCATTGTTACAAAAGTCTTTTCATGATGAAAAAGTAGTTACAGATGAGCTTACAATTTTCTACTATTCTTGGAAATGTATATTCAAATTATGAATCATCCCAGAACTACTACGTTTTCAAAAAAAGATAATATCATAAAAAGAACATTTTTGCTCAAGACCAGCTCAGCTACTCAGCCGGCCATTCGGTGAGTCGATTTCAACTTACCATGTGCATCGAAATTCTTTATAGAACTTTGAATTGCCTCTTTTCAATAGGTTCTTCCTAAGCACAGTTTATGACCACTCGAACGATTGTTTCCGACGGAATCGAAATTCGATCAAAATGATTAAAAATGATTTTCTTCGATATATGCCGCATTCTCCAGTCATCGAAGCCTATCTAATATAGTGGAAAGGATGAAATTCGAACATGGATACTTGCGATTAATTTTCATTCCACCTATAAACGAACGATGAACTATTATTCTTCTATGAAAGTCATCTTTTCAACTCAGACAAAGATAATGCCATGGACATTGTACTTGTTACTTTAACATACGCTAGTGTTACTTTAGAAGTTAAAAATAACATTCTTTCATTTAAGGGAAAAAGCTTTTGCTCGTCTCTAACTAAAGGAAAGACTTTTCTCGAATTTCAGATGCCATATAAAGAGCTTCATTGATAAATAACTGATTTGTGTAATTAACTATAAAAGAATAGGTGGTTAAAGGTCGAAAGGGAAAATGTCGAAAGCAGATTGTCGAAAATCTAAATCCTTTTTGGTCACAGATTTCGCCCTCACCCTCACTGTTGTGCTCTGTAAATGTGTACCGTATTACATTCTATTGATCAAATCTTAGAAAAAGTTTTCCATAAAGGATTTACAGGGGTTCATAATTTTCGACATTTTGCTTTTCTACATTTTTTTTCTACATTTTCACTTTCTACATTTTCACTTTCTACATTTTCCTTTCGACATTTTGACACTTTACCACTATAAAATATTTAGAAATTTTTTCAAAGGTTCAAAATGTAAAAATTCGTGATGACTATGCCTTCGTTCAGAACCCTGACAAAATTTCTTTGTAAGTTTTCATTAGTTGATATTAAATATGACCTAAATAATAATGAAAGGAAGGTGAAATATCTTATGTCAAAATTAATAATTCTGCTAAGATTGTCGAATAAAAAAGGCATTTCGAAATCGTTTTTTTGAAGAAGTTTTACGTAAGTCCTCCGCATTTGTTCAAATCTTTGTCATGATATTTCATTGGAAACCCAAGTAATCAGTCTTTTTGATTTCTTTAAGAAAATTCTGACTTTCGAACTTTTTTTTTATAATATGTCGGATAGTTTTGATTTTTGAAAATATTGTTTTATTCATAAGATTCAATTTGCCTTTTCTGGCTTATGTCTGAAACGAATCGGGCAAATTATAATACCAGTGATGATTCTTCATGTTCATAGGAAATTCATTCCTGTAGCAACAATGTACACTTTCGCTTGTTTTCTTTCTAATTTTATGCTGAGTATATCTCATTTCTAATAATGATGAAAGCTAAAAAAATATTACTTACAGTATCGTTCATAGCGGAAGGCATATAGACCTTTTTTATATGAAAAAGGATGCATTAAACTTATAAGAGGGTATTCAGTCAGTCTCTCTTAGTATAACGCAGATAGCTGCAAACACATACCGTACCACAGAGCCACACAGATGCGAGAACAAGGACTCGAAAAATCCTTTATTTCGTAAGAACAAACAATATTAACACATTCATGCTATTTCAGTATTTCTGTTTTTCCTGTAGAATTTACAGGTTAAACCTACTCAACGCCTTAGACAATCGTCATATAACTATAATTATGAACGCTAGAGAAAAGAGAGTATAATAAATATCAATCATTTTTAGATGACTTTGTTCGTCTGATTCCTAGTACGCAGAGGTGCAGAATCTGCCATTGAAATGAAAAAATCCCCCAGCGAAGAAAAATTCTTCAAAAATTTCTCCAACTGTCAAAGTAAAAGAAATAAAAGAAAATGAAGTCGCGTTGTTCTCTATTTATAAATAAATCAGATAATCTGTACACATCATCCGTCTCTTAATATCTACAAAAGAAAAGCTTTTTTCTCTAATTTTTCATATTAAAAAATATTTCTTGAAGTTAATAGTTCTCCAAAAATTTTCCCCAGCGCGTGCTAGCGCACACGAGCAGATTCTACATCTCTACTAGCTCTCTCAATAACCTGTACTACTCGAGAAAGCCTGTTTTCAATTTGTCTTGGTTTTCAACAGAAATCTGTATTCTCTGTTTCTCATTTTTAACTAAGATCTTCTACCTTTCAGATTCTGGATGCGATCAATTCGCGTCCGGTGAGCTTCAATCAACGCTTGCTAGGATTACTGAGGAAAACGAACAACTGAAAAAGGAGCTCAATAACCAGAAGAATCACAACGACAAGCTTCAACTCGAAAGCCAGATTTTCCAGAAACGCTGCGAACAACATGAACTGGAGATTTATAATTGGATTGAGTATTATGAACGTCTCGAAGAAAACAATATGCATGTTAACAAACAAATCGCAACTCATCAACAGCAAGTTCAACATCTCCAAGAAAACAATGCACATCTTAACAAACAAAACGCAACTTATCAACAGCAAATTCAACGTTTTGAAGAAAATGATACGCATCTCAACGAACAAATCGCAACTTATCAACAGCAAATTCA